TTCTCTCAAGAAGCCCAAATACGTCATCTGCCAGGCCCTAGGAGTCACTGTGTACCAGCAATCCTGAGAGAGTGAGGAAGTCAGCATTTGAGACAGGGTCTCTCACTGAGCCTGGAGCTCACTGATTTGGCTCTCTGGTTCCTTCTGTTTCCGCCTTCTCAGCATTGGGATTATAGGTGTATTGAGTATTGATAATGATGCTCATAAAGTTTCCCATTTTACAGCATTTCAACTTAGCTCTTCTGATTATGTTCAGCCTATAATTTGTCATGGTGATCCAGCAAACAGGCATGGCCCTGGAGCTTCTGGAAGAATGGGGCCTGGCCTGCAGCTGGCTTCCAGGGTCTGGGGGTCACCACGGCACCTTGCTGTCAGAGGCTGGAGGAGCCCTGCATTCTCTGTCCTTGCTCTGGACATTTTCATCTTCCCTATATTCTGAACACAGTGAACTACTAGTGGTCCCTGCCCACACGTGCTGTTCAAGGCCTTGGTCCTCCATAGCCACCTCCCTCTTTCCTCTTACTTGGCAACTTACTGGATTCTCCACCCCCCTTTTTTAAGTTTTTCTGACCCAGGGTTTCTCTATGTAGCTCTGGCTGTCCTAGAACTCACTCTGTAGCCCAGGCTGGCCTCAATCTCACAGAGATTCTCCTGCCTCTGCCTCCCGAGTGCTGGGATTAAAGGCGTGTGCCACCGCCCGGCTAATTTAGTGTATTTTTTATGCATAGCTTGACAACTCCTCCCTATGAAACTTTTTAGACTTGGCTTTGCTGCTTGGGCGCCTACAGCCTACTTCCTTCTTAGCAGGGCCAGAGCTTTCCTTCCAGAACCTTCTTGGCAGCGCATCGTCTCATCTTTTCCTCTTTGTGACCAAAGTGTGTGGTGAAGGCCTAGTGAGTACTTGACGATTGAACAACCCTGTCGCTGAGCTGTGAGATGCCCTGTGGGTCCCTCAACAGCGTAGTTCCCAATCCAAGATGAAAGAAGTTAGAGAATACAGCCGAATGTTCCTAAAAAGGAGCCTGAGACGGTGCAATACATGTGTGGTTACCCTTAGCACTCAAACACCATGCTCATTAGCCAGACAGACTGCGGTGCCCTGTTCACAGGGAAGTTTGCCTGGCGTTTTCTGAGTTTATAAAGTCTCCTAAGGGAGCTGGCTTCATCCTGGAGTCCTGCCCAGCATTGAGGAGTGCCAGAGCCACCCTGTCAACAGCTTGTTCAAGAGTCCTTCCTCCCACGTCCTTGCACAGCCCAGGAGCCAATCATGAATGGTTCCAGTTCTGTCGTCAGGGGTTGGTTTGGGAATGGGCATCAGGCCCCGCCCCTACAGAAAAGGTATGAATGGAGTCTCCCAGGCAGCTCCGAGAAAAGAACTCTGTACTCCTGGACAGGAGACACAGAAAGTGTTTCTCCTCCCCTGCCAAATAATGCCCATCTTTGTATAACACTCATGTTCTGGCAGCCATCTTGCAGCCATGAAGAGTGAGAGCCCGAGTTGCCGAAGCCAGGTGTCTGAAGGTGGCAGGGTAGAAAATGCAAAGCACTTGGGTTTTATTTGTTTAGTTATTTCTCACTTTTAAATCTTAGTATTTTGTCTGCACGTGTGATTGTGTGTGTGTGCAGGTGCATGTATGTGCAGGTGTATGTGTGCAGGTATGTGCGTGTAGGTGTGTGTGTGTGTGTGTGTGTGTGCAGGTGTGTGGATGAGCAAGTATGTGTGCAGGTGTGGGTGATCAGGCGTGTGGGTGTGCGGGTGTGTGTGAACGGGTGTGCATGTGTGCAGGTATGTATGTGCAGGTGTGCGTGTGTGCAGGTGTTTATGTGTGTAGGTGTGTGGGTGTGCAGGTGTGTATTTGTGCAGGTGTGTGGGTGTGCAGGTGTGTGGGTGTGCAGGTGTGTATGTGTGCAGGTGTGTATGTGTGCAGGTGCATGTGTGCAGGTGTGTATGTGTGCAGATGTGCACATGGAGGTCAGATCAGTGGACAGCTTTCAGGAGTTGGTTCTCTTCTTCCACCGTGGAGTCGAGGAATCAGGCTCAGGGCATCAGGTTTTCGTGGCGAGCACCTTTACCTGCTGAACCATCTTGCACGCCTGTGGTGTTTTTCGGGGGCTGTGGTGCGCCTCAGCAGTAGAGCACATGCAAGGGTTGATCGCCGTTACTTTAAAAAAAAAAGGTGGGGGGCAGCTGTTTTAAAGCCCCGGGAACAGCCCCGGCTGCTTTTACGGGTTACATTTTCTTCTCCACTATATAAATCACCAAACTAACACTTAGAGTGTATTTGTGTCTTCCTCCCTCCTTCAACTTACTCAGTCCTTTTCTGTGCCAGTCACTCTGCTGAACTCCGAGGAAGGAAGGGAAAAAATAAAGGGAAGTGTGAGTATGAATTTATAGCTAGCATTGAACTTCTCCTTCATACCACTCTCGGAAGTTATTTAAGTGTGATTATTTTCAGTTTCAAGGCATGTTTGAATTTAGACACGGCTTGTAAAAAATGTAACATTTCCCTCTCAAACTTCCTTAATGGGAAACTGTGAACAAGCCGCATGTCGGGGAGGGAGGCTTTTCTATAAAGAAAAACATGCACTTGGGGACTCCTGGAAACCGGTCCCAGGCCTGTGTAAGGATAAAGAGGGGGTACAGACCCTCGCCTGGTCAGGGATGGGGTAGGGTAGGTTTTTCTACTGGAAAAACACGGGTGAGAAAGAGCAGGCACAGGGTGTCCAGCCAGTGGACAGACAGACTGAGCCTAACAGCTGCTAAAATTAGCAGAGCTTCCCTCTGCAAACGGACCTAACACTGGTGGGAAGTGTAGGGTCCAGGGCGGAGGCTGTGAATGAATGGAAGCGTGGACCAGGGAGCCCTGCACTGTGTGCTGGATCACAGCCCGCCTGTGAGTCAGGGCACCCCACTCCCCGTGGGCAGGAGTTGGCTGCCTGTGGAGCTTATAGCTCAGAGAGGAACTGGCGAGACACAAGATTCCTGCAGTCCACTCTGAGTCCACTATACTGGGATGAAATTGAATGGAATAAGAAAAAAAGAATGCATTTAAAAAGAAAATAAAAGTTTCTCTCTCTCTCTCTCTCTCTCTCTCTCTCTCTCTCTCTCTCTCTCTCTCTCTCTTCCTCCCTCCCTCCCTCCCTCTCTCTCTCTTTCACACACACACACATCTTTCTAAGGTCTGGCTTTGTAAATGCTAAGCACATATTTCATTGAGTCTTAACACTTTCCGAAATGGGCCTGCCGTGCTGGGGCATCCCTGCATCTGGATAGGGAGAGAGGTGGCAGAGAGAGAGCACGTTCATCTTCCCTTCACCCCGTGCAGCACACACTGTCTTTTTCTTTGTCAGAGCGAGTGATTTCACAGTTACAGAAGTTGCTCTCTGCAGAATCAGGGATATGCCCAACCAAACCCTGAATGTGCCTCACGTGAGTGTAAGCCCACCTGTCGTCTGCTGTGGGAAGCCTGAGGACTCTGGGGAGGGAATCCTAGGGCACATTACCTCTGGACTCCTGTCCTCTGGTGGATGGTACCTTGCTTCCTCTCCTGAGTCTCTTCCCTGGTCAAACTGTCCTATATCCCTGGTGGATCCTCTGAGAAGATGTAGTGAGCAGGACAGGTCATTTGCTCAAAGGAATCTTTGGTAGCTGCTGTAAAATTCATGAGACATTTAAGCTCAGCATTCAAGACCTTCTGTGATGTGGCTCTTTCCTCTCATTCTTCTGTGTGTGAGTGTGAGAGTGTGTGCAGGTGCATGTATGTGTGCAGGTGTGTGTGCACATGTGTACATGTGGAGGCCGGAGGGCAGCCTTGGGTGTATTCCTCAGATACCATCATCCGCCTTGTTTTGAGAAAAGGACTCTCACTAGGGACTCCCAGGGAGCCCCAGAGATCTGCCTGTCTCTGACTAACCCTTTACAGACTCACACTCCCACTTTTTCCGTCCTACCACTCTATATTCCCAGGCAGGCGCTGCACTCCCAGACATGTGTCTGGCCACCCCACATGCTGGTGGCTGGGTATAGGATTGACGTTGAGAGTGAGTGTTAGTTATCAAAGCCTATGCATGTTTGTATACACCTCCTCCCCCCCCCGCCAGTTCCACTTCAGTCTGTGTAGAGCTGATGGGTTGTGCCTACCTCTCCAGTTCCCGGACACACTTGCTCAATGGTTTAGAGACAGCAGTAGAGACTGAATTGTGACCAGATCTCAGCAGTAACATGCAGGCACACACACATTCTCACACACACGTGCATACATACCACTGGGTCGGCAATATGTAAATCAGGCTGGTTTGAGCCCTCCAGGCCAGGCTTGGGTGTTGTTCAGCTGTGGCTCAGCTGTCTAGGTCTCCACCTTCCGACTGGGCTGCTTTCCCTGCTCCAGGGTGGGAAGGATGAGTGTATTTATGCAGACAGGGCAGCTAAGGTAAGGGCCCTGCCACCTAGCCATTACTGCCAAGTCCTCTGCTTGGATTTTCCCATGACCCCCAAGTTCAGAACCATCTTGGTCCCTGCCCAAGCATATGGGATGGCATGGGTCCCTCATTCTTCCAGCAATGGTTGATGATGCTGAGCAGGTCAGAGGTCTGAGTGCCAGACCTTGGAATAGATGCATGGGTGGAACTTGGGCATTGTCCTTTACCAGCTGCAAGACTTTGGGTGAATGCAAAATCCAGCCTCAGTTTTTCCATCTGGAAAGTGGCATGGTCAGGGACTTACCACCTAGAATTGCTGTGAAGATTATGAGAGGTAAGAAAACCGGGAGCTAACCAAGGAACCGTCTGGATGCTGAAGCCTTTAGAGCATAACCGTAGGCAGTATGAGAACTGTCAGCGTTTTGGAGAAAGGGAATCAGCCTGAACTATGCTTCAGGGAAACAATTCATAGCAGCTAAAAGGAACTTTGGAGGAATATATCAGTCAGGCCTCTGTAGGGTGGAAAGAGCACACACGTGCGTGCGCATGGGCACACACACACACACACACATACACACACACACAAATTAAGATTTATTAGGTCAGATCACATAATACATTCTAAGTAGTCCAACAATGGCTGTCTCACCCCAGAGGGGCTGAGAACCTGGTGGCTGCCCAGTCCATGAGGCTGGACATCTCACCTGCCCTAATCTGGTACTGGAGACCTGGAGGATTCCTGGAGAGCCGCTAGGGTGCTGTCACCATCAGAAGCCTGAAGAGGCTGGGTTCTGACCCCAGCCAAGGAACGCAGCAACAGAGTAGATAGATGGATGGACGTGCCACCCAGGGTGAAGGTAAGAGGGCTGGCTTTGGCCCCTACCACCCACGTGGTGGCTTTCAACCATTTGCAACTCCAGTTCCAGGGTACCCAACACGGCCTGGTTTCCCTGGCCACCAGGCATGCGCACAGGTGGTGCACATACGTACATGCGGGCAAAGCACTCATACACATAAAGTCAATGAATCTTAGTAAAGCAAAACAAAACTAAGGCAAGCAGGCAAAAAGCGAGGCTCGCTTCTGTCTCCGTTTACCTGGGCTGCCACCAGAAGGGCCACCTCCATTAGGTCGGTTCTTCCCACTTTATCTGATGGAGAAAATTCTTCCTCACAGGAGTGCCCCGCAGCTTGCCTTCTAGTTGCTTCCAGACCCAGTCAAGTTGACAACCAAGGTTTGCCATCACAGAGGAGTCTCACGGTCTCAGGATCCATTCAGCTGTTGGCTTTCTGCAGCCTCTTGCTTCCAAACAACCTTTGTGGAATAAAATATACATCATCTGGATGCAGATTAAGGACACTAGAAGGGGGCGTGGGGGAGAGCTCTCAGGTGTGTTCCTTCCAGTTTTCTCCTGTCCTGGATGCTTTATGAGGCCTTCTCTCTCATGAGATGCCTCTCTGTGCCCAGAGAGGAGTTTTGTGGGCTGCTCACCAGAGAAGACTGCTCGGATGCTGGTCTAAGCCAATAGAAAGTCTTTATTAGCCAGCCAGCAACACTGGGTGCTCAGGATCCCAGTGTAGGCCCGAGCCTTCCTCAGGGTGAGCGTTTAAGCATAAAAAACATGTTCTGGGTTGACACACTTAACAAGAACCGTTAGCCAGAAGCGGAACTACAGAAGCTAAAAAGCAAGGTTAGTACCTTTAGAGACTTTCCCAGAACTATGGACTTGGATGGATTAGGCCTTAGTTTTAGTTCTGGCAGCTGGTGCTGCCTACGTGCTGAGTTTTACAGCCTGAATGGAAATTCCATCATGGAGTCAGTTGTGCTAAGGTCTGGGGGCCCACTGCAGTGAGCACCCATATCTTACAGCATAGAATTGAGATACTTGGGGAAGCTTTATATCATTGTATGTATGTGCTTGATGTGTGTGGACACGCGTGTCATGGCGTGCGTGCGTGTGGAGGTTGGAGGGCAACCGGGGAGTCTATTCTCTCCTTCCACCTTTATGTGGGTTCTGGGAATTGAACTCGGGCCACCAGGTTCATGTGGCAAGCATCTTTCCCTCTGAGTCATTTCCTGGCCCCAGGGAAGATTTTAACGGGAGGAACTAAGATGGGTCTTGTCTCTCGTAAGTACTAATCAGATGTCCTATTATGAGCTGACTGTACTAGGCAGAATGATGCCACCTCCCCAGTGTCCTCACCCTGGTCTCCAGACGCTGTGAGGCTGCTACCTTATATGGCAAAGGGACTCCATCAGTGTGACTGGGTAAAGGACCCTGAGGTACCTAGGAAAATGCCAGGTCTGGTGTAATCACCGGGAACCTTCAGTTTGCCTGTTTTATTTGAGCCAAGGTCTCATGTAGCCCAGGCTGGCCTTCATTTATCTATCCTTCTATCTATCTATCTATCTATCTATCTATCTATCTATCTATCTATCTATCTATCTATCTATGGCCAAGGTTGGCCTTGAACTCCTGATTCTCCTGCCTCTACCCCAAAAGAGCTGCAATTACAGGCATGTGATGACAAACCCAGTTTTACATGAGTCCTTAGAACGGGAGACCTTCTCTTGCTGTGTCTAAGGGAGACCAGACTACTGAAGGAATTGGAGGACCCCAGAAGCTGGGGAAGGCAAGGGTATCCCCCTGAGCCTCCTGAAAAGAAGGCAGCCCTGACCACCTTAACGCTGGCTCTGGGAGGCCTGTCCGGGCTCCGCCCTCCAGGAGTGGTAAGAAGAGTCCCAGTTCAGCTGCCAGGCCAGCCATGTTGAGGCACTATGGAAAATGGATGCACCCAGGTGCTGTTTTCCACCTTGGAGAACTCACCCCGTGAGGGAGGCAGAGGAGAGGACTCTTCCTCACATAGGGGTGCCTAAGGGGCCACATTGGCTGGGGGTTAATGCTGCTTGGGGATCACGGAGGTGCAGAGCTGGTGAGCTAAGGCGTGTCTTTAGGATAATGGAAGGGTTTTTGTTTGTTTGTTTCAGGTGGCGAAGGGGGGGTGGGTGGGAAATCTGGGCTGAGGGGACAGTATGCGAACACACAGGGGTAGGAGGGGTGCAGTGTGTTCCCAGCTACAGCTGAGGACAGTGGAGCCAGGGAATGCGGAGAGGTTTTGTGTGTGTGTGTGTGTGTGTGTGTGTGTGTGTGTGTGTGTGTGTGTGTCCTTGAGTGTCCTTGGAGTGAGTAGGAGGTGGGTACCTCCAGGCTTTCTGAATAGAAGGACCCTTCCTTGGGGTGTGAGTTCTGGTCACCAGAAGATCCTGTCTCTCTTCTTGGAGTCTTGTTTTGTGTCTTAGACATGGACACAAAGGGTCTTGGGAATCGATTCAGTCAGTAGAATACTTGCCGCAGGAGCTGGGACCCGAGTTCAGGTCCCCAGAACTCACACAGAAAGCCGGGCACATCATCGCGCCCCTGCAACTCCTGTGCTCTCTGTGTGCCGTATGTGTGTGCCTAGCTAGAAGGGTGTGCTTCGGGTTCAGTGAGAGGTCCCGTCTCAGAAACTGAGCAGTAGCTGAGAGCTTATATCCTGATCTGCAGGCAGCAGGCAGAGAGCAAGACTGTCTGGTAAGAGCTTTTGAAGCCTCAAAGCCACCCCCTGTGACACACCTCCTTCAACAAGGTCACACCTCCTAATCCTCCCTAAACAGTTCCATTAACTGGGAACCAAAGATTCAAATATATGAGCCTATAAGGGCCACTCATTTAAATACTAACACAGACACACATGTACACGCGCACAAATATGCCACACATACACAGAATTTTTAAAAAGTGGATATATGTTTGTGCCTTCTATTCCACATTTAATCCTTGATGGTTTCAGAATAAAAATAGTAATTTGAGGCTGGAAAGACGGCTTAGCCATTAAGAGCACTGGCTGCTCTTGCAGAGGACCCAGGTTTGGTTCTCAGCAGCCACAAGGCAGGTCACACCTGCATGCCCCAGGATACCCTCTGGGTATTTAAGTCTGAATTGGAAAAGAGAGCTGACAAAGTTTAACCCTTTTGTCTCTCTCTCTCTCTCTCTCTCTCTCTCTCTCTCTCTCTCTCTCTCTCTGTGTGTGTGTGTGTGTGTGAATGTGTGTGCTTGTGTATATGGAGGCCAGAGGTTAACATCCACTGTCTTTCTCCATTGCTGTCCATTTTATTTTTTGAGACAGGGTGTCTCATTGAATATGGAGCTCCTTGATTGGCTAGACTGTCTGGCCAACAAGCCCCGGGATCCACCTGTCTTCACCTCTCAGTTTTGGATTCGTGGACACGTGTTACCATGACTGGCTTTCACGTGGTGGCCGGGGATCCACGCTCAGGTTCCCATGCTTGCACACAGCTATCTTCCCAACCCTTAATTTAAAAAATACTTTTGTGTGTATGGATGTGTTCATATGAGTGCGTGCGTGCGTGCGTGCATGTGTGTGTGTGTGTGTGTGTGTGTGTGTGTATATACATCTCAGAACAACCTTGGGCTCTTTCCATCTTGGTATGAGAACTTTGCCGAGCAGTCTTGACTAGCTCACCATTGAGCTCCAGGGACCGCACCATCTTGCCCTCTCTGGGATTGCAAGTTCTCACCACCATGCCTGGCTTTTTATTTGGGTTCTGGAGCTCTGAACTCAGGTCCCCAATGCCTCTGAGGCAGGTTTTTACCAGCCTAGCCCCTTAAAGATTTTTTTTAAAAACCCAGTTATTTAACAAAGCATTGTTGAGTGTTTATCATGGTTGTCACTCCATGTATAAAAGAAAATCAAAATCTTGTTCCTGGGCTTAGAGTCTTGGAGTGGGGTGAAAACCATTACAATTATAACAGACTCCAGCATGTGTGAATACAGGTGTGAAAAATGTGCAAGGACCCTGCCTGGGTCTCCGGTGGCTGTCATAACAAGTTAATGCAAGCAGGGTGCCGTTAGAATGTTTCTTGCCTTCACATCTCCAGCGGCTAGCAGTCTGAAATCTGAGTACCAGCAGAACTGTTAGTATCTAAGGGTCTCAGTTGAGTTTGTTTTCTCTGCCAGTTAAAGAATTAAAAGGCAGGAAAAATCTTGACGGTAACAGGTAGCGGCAGAGAAATCTCAGACACCACAAACAGGCGCAGACAGAATCAGCGATTGAAGGAAGACTTTCATTGGGGTGAGGAAATACATACACGCAGCAGATTCACAGGGAAGAGACCCCTGTAAAGTAGAGGGGGGACCCAGGAAGCCGGAAAAACCAGTGTCTTCTCGAGGGCGGGGATTTCTAAGGCCTTTGAAGAGTTTTCCTCTCCTAATTCAGGGTTGGTGAGTTTGAAGATGGATGGATGGTTGATTGGCCCACAACTGTTGTGTAACATGTCCTGATGCCATGGCCTCAAACTTGCTGAGCCAGTCCATCAGCAGCGGACCTACTGATGGGAAAGGAAGCCTGCAAGGCCTTTGTTCTCAGGTCTTTTATCTTGGGTCAGGACAGCGAGGAAGAAGCTGGCCATCCCGGAAGTTCACCCCCTTTATCACCTATCCATGGCCCCTCTCTCTTCCTGTCTGTCCGCCTCCCAGGGAGTCGTCTAATTCTTAGCCACTCCAAACCTCGTTTCCCGTGGGAGGGCTTGAGGGGAAAAAGCCTTCTTGCCCCCCACTCCCGAGTCTGGTGGCTCCTAGAGTTCCTGGCTTAGAGTTCTATCCCTCCAATCTTGTCCTCGTCACACGCCCTCCTCCTTCGTAAGGACTTTGGGGCCTTCCCCAGTCATCCAGGGTGATCTGATTTCCACATCCTTTACTCAATTACACCTGCAAAGACCCTTTCCTCAAAGTAGTTCAACCACAGGTTCCTGGGGTTTGGATGTGGATCTATTTGGGCTCGGGTACCTGTGTGCACACTGCACCCCAACACACGAACATGTGCATGCATTCACATACAAGATTAAAAATATAAGCCGGGTGGTGGTGGCGCACGCCTTTAATCCCAGCACTCGGGAGGCAGAGCCAGGCGGATCTCTGTGAGTTCGAGGCCAGCCTGGGCTACCAAGTGAGTTCCAGGAAAGGCGCAAAGCTACACAGAGAAACCCTGTCTCGAAAAACCAAAAAAAAACCAACCAACCAAACAAAAAATATAAAAAAGTAAAGTGACTAAGGTACTTGAGGCCAGCGGCCAAGTGAAGGTGACATGTGAGTGTTCCATGTAAACCTTAGATGGGGGAGAAGACTCTGTCACAGAGCTTGCAAGCATGGAGCCCTAAATTCAGCCCCTAGAAGGCACACAAAAAAAGCCTGACAGGGCGGCATGCATTTGTAATCCCTGGGGCTGACTGGTGGGGCTTCTGGCCAGTCAGCCTG